ACTTTAGCGGTACAAGTCCTTTCTTAAATAAAACTAGTTTATTCTTTCTCAATGCAAATTTGCAATACACTTAATTTTACAGTCACTCTATAACTTAAACAAACGCTATAATTCACAACGAACGATTCAAGCGCTTGACTCAATTGTCCGTCTCTATATCTGTCTGCAATTCAATTCCCTTGTTGCCGTCAGTTCTTGGCGGTCTTATATACAAGAATACCGCACATCTAGTAAACACTCGAGCATTCAAGAACCTTCGAGAATATCATGACGTGTTACTAAGATCACGTGACTTCCGCTGTCGTAACAATACAATCTTTCGTCTAGCTGTTCGATATGCAACAATATTTTACACTTTCTTTTCATAAGTTTATATTTTGGTTTGCCGAAAATTTTAATAGCATAAAGTTAACGTTGAGTCAGGAAAGGTTAATTTCGATTATCAATTTCTAAAACTTAGTCAGTACGTTGGGTAAAACAAAAACAAATGATTTAACGTTATTGTCTTCCATTTTGAGAAATGGACAATAATGTTACTCTTGCAATTATCGTCTCTATTCTTTCATTTTTGACAAGTGTATTTTTCATTTCTATCTTTGTTTGAAATTAGCTAAGAACAGTTTATTTGATTACCAATCGGAAAAAAAGTGTTAATTTACTGCATCTATGTTTATTGGAAATAAATAAATAAATATCTATAAATCGTATGTGATATTTTTAGAGAGCGCTTTAGACAGCTGAGTCGACACTCGACATTGTATTAGTACTAGTAGTGAGTATGTGAAGCAGTGAGGGTTGTCAAGGGTTTTTCTCAATTCGATGAGCAGCTAGAAAAAGTAGCTTTTTCCTTTTATACTATTTACTTATAAATTATTACATTACTACTTCTGTTAGATTAATAGTTAAGAGGACAGTTGAACCCAAATGACGTCGTGTTTAAATGTGGGGTTAGGAGATTGTCAAGATGATCTAGATATAAAAGGTGAAATTGATTTCGATTTTTTTGATGCTCCGGAAAAATCCAAATGTAAGTCATGGGAAGCCAATCCAAACAGTGAAAGTGGAAGACCACAGACGTTAGAGATTGAACATTGTCTTCTGTCACACAGTAATCATGAACTGCCTGGAGAAAAAAGCATAGTGGCAGAAGCTCAAATTGAAATAAATCCATCATATTGGGAGTGTGACTCTCCGAGTCTGAATTACAACGAAAGTGTAGAAGCTGTCCCAAAAGATGCAAGTGGATACTTCCCTAGCCATTCCCAAGCGTGTGGATGCAATGTTTTAACTTGTCCAATATTTTCAACATCTGAAGACTTGGATGCAAGTGGAAGCTTAAGACGAAAAAAAGTAATTGAGACAACTATTCCATGCCCTTGTGAAGATGTTTGTTCAAATGTACAACAGAATTCAGATCTATGCACAGCAGCAGCAAGAATTGGTTGTGAATTATGCGTATGCATCTCACCTCATAAATGTGTTAGTAATGATACCAAGGATAAAAGTAAATACGAGAACACTGACAAAACTGATAGAGCTTCCCCCACATCTAGTCTGTCAACAAGTGATTCAGATGATTTGACATCTGAAGATTCATTGGATGGACTATCTGAAAGTGATTCTATTACTGACGTCACTCCTTTAAGCTCACCCTATTGGTGTGATAGCCCTCTTCCACAGTGTAAATCATTTAAACGCTTACCTTGTGAAACCAATGAGAGTGAACAAAATAATAAAGAAAGTTGTAGAGAAGGAGCTTCAAATGAACAGGTTATTAAAAAGCAAGAAAATGTAAAGTTTTCTGAATCTGCATACTGGCAAAGTGAGAATTTCCAAGAATTGGATGAGCTCAATCAAGTGGTTGAAGCCCTTCAGGCACTGGAAACTAGAAGTAGAAACGAAAGAACAAATATAAAGCAGAGAAATTGTGTGACGCCACCTGTTTTGAAAGGAAGGAAAAACATGTCATTCTCAAACCAGCAAGTTCATCAGATCGATCAGGAAAATCAACGCCTCTTAAGAAAAATACTAGCTCAACAAAACAGGTCAAAAGCTCAGTGTGGATCTGATTCACGGCCACCATGTACAGCATCATCTGCTATTAATAGAAGGAGGCAACAACGACAAATTGAAAATGATAACTTGGTTAGTTTATCTTTCTAGATTAACACTGTTTCAAAGTTATATTTCTGGTTGACAATTAAACCACATACATAATTTAAGTACATGGTAGTAAGCCAACATGAGTTATGCCTCCAATAAGCTAAAGAGTGAGGCATGAAAAATAACTAGAATAATGGAAACTTTCACTAGACTGAATAAAAAATATAAAAAATGTCCATTATAAAGCATTATTTTGAATCTTTTTAAACTTAGGTTTGTAAAATCCTGAATATAGAGTGGATTAATTATGAGCAGACTTGTACTCACCTACAAACAGAACATTATTTTGAAGGATATTTCTGAATAGGTATTTAAATGTGTTCTTGAAAATAAGTATAATTATTTATATGATTTCTGCTAGTTATTTTAATTATTTTCCTTTCCATGTTATGTACCTTTATTTTCTAAGTATGTTTTTTATTTTCAGATGCTTTTGAAACGACTTGAATCTGCCAAACCCAGTACACACCTGAGTCGTACCAACTTGCTTCGTGACTATAATAAATATTCTCGTGTCACTTCACGCAGCTCCTTTAGATCCCATTCCTCTGGTCCCAGTTCTCAGCAAAGTTCAGCTCGACTTTCTTCTTCTTCCTCGAGTCTGAGCAGTTTGCAATCATCGGACAGTAGCTGTTCTTCTCCTAAGGCTTCCAAGTCTGTAAACAACAGACCTAAGAGTGCTAAACACAATCCGATTTCTCAGGTCAACCACGTTAAACACAGCTCTTACTAGCTATGCTAATTTCAGGTTTTCATTAACAGTTTTATATGTAAAGCAGATTTCCAGTACTAAACTTTTATGAAATAATAATCAGCAAAAAAAAACAACATACCCTCAGTTGAATTCCTACAGTTTTTGTATAAGCTGGAATGTTTATTTGTGAATGTATAGCTTGATCTTATGTAAGATTTTTATGAACAAGTTAAAAGATCATTAAGAACAGTTCTAATTTATCAAACAATTTAACATAATAATATCCTTGTATACTGTTGCTTATAATATCAGAGGAAAAAAACAACAACATATACTGAATTCATCAGTGCATACAGCTATTTTTTCCACATTTACAAAACATTTAATCATATTTCAATTTTATATTTTGTTTTTTAACTAAAAATATGCATTTTTCATGAGTGATAAGCTGAAAATTATAGCAATTACATATGTAACTGCAGGGGGTTTTAAAAAGTGACTCTGAAAAGTTTACATGTTCAGATATTCCAGAGAATCAAATAGAATTTCTATATTCATGTTGGCAGGTGGTAAAAACCAAATCTATGATCTACCTACAGAGAATTGGTATCATTTAAAACTGCTTGGTTAACAAAATAAAGAAAGGAAAAGAAATTAGGGAGTTAATACTGTGAATACAATCAGGAAAATGAATCTAGTCTAGTTATGTTTAGTAAATTGTAACCTTATATTTTTGGATGAATCTTGTGGAGCTTCTCAGCTTTAAAATATGTATAAACAGTGAAATTACATAAGGGTTAAAGTTTAGAAATGTGCATTTCTAACAAGTAGCTGTTACCATAGCTTGGTGATTCTCAACCTGTAGTACATAGAGCTGGGATATTAACATGATTAAGCAATACAACTGATTACCTATGAGCATCAGTTACTTCGACATATGTCCCATAGAATAATTAATTAATCAAAATTATGATTAAAGTTGATTATATCATAAAAATAATGAACTCATCAATGTTAGTGTTTCTAATTATTCCAAGTAATTGCTGTTATGATATATCATTATCGGTTTTGATTAAATTCCAGGTTGTTCAATTAGGACCATTACTCACAAAAATAATGAACTCATCAATATTAGTGTTTGCAATTATTAATATTTTTGATTATTCCAACTATCCAAAGTTTTTGAAAATAATCAGTTAGTTGAATATAATCTATTAATGAGCCTAATGATCAATTTAGCAAATTTCATTATTTGTCCAACTGTAGTGATGTACATACCCCCAGGAGACCTTTCTGAGGGTAAGCAAGAACTTTAAAAACATTAAAACAAAATAAACCCCACACCTCAAAATTGGAAGGCAGTCTTGGTGAGTTAAAACATATTCCAGAAGCCAACACTCAGTATTCGTTTATTGTTCATTTATCTTTTTATTAATATAAAAAAAATTCTTATTAAAGTTTTGTTAACAAATTATATGCATCAGAGGTATACCACTGATTCAAAGGTTTGACTTGGTGTACAAGGCATAAAAAGGTTAGGAACAAGCTATAACAAACTTAATGCTATTATAAGCCACTTTCATTTGCTTATTACTGTGTCACCATTAATATTAAGCAAATACTAAAAAACATAATAATATAAGTCCTAAAATTGTGCTAAACGTGAGAAGTATGGGAACTTGTGTTAGTTGTATTTATTTATTTGTCAAACATCAAAAAGTGTGTATAAAGTTTTGTAAAAATGCTGTGATTGTTGTTTTACATCTCTCTTTTTCTTCTCTAACCTCTGGTTTGACTGCATATCAAATGTGAGCATCAGTAATTTTACTTATAATACTTGAAGTGGACATGTCTATTCAACTAATTCAGTTAATTTCTAAATTGTATTTTTAGAAGAACATACATTTTGTAAACAAAATACTGTTGGATAAGTGTGGGGATGTTTCATCAAGACTGTAAACTTCTAATTTATTTTTAGGCACATTGTGCTACTATATTAAGAGTAAAAAACACAAAAACCAACGTTTCTTTTGGCACAATGAAAGGTAAAATATTTTATATTACTTAAAAGCTGTAAGTAATATAAAATATTTTACCTTTCATTGTGCCAAAAGATGTCAGTTTTTGTGTTTTTTACTCTTAATATAGTAGCACAATGTGCCTAAAAATAAATTAGAAGTTTACAGTCTTGATGAAACATCCCCACACTTATCCAACAGTATTTTGTTTACAAAATGTATG